GAATAGAATAGAATAGAATAGAATAGAATAGAATAGAATAGAATAGAATAGAATAGAATAGAATAGAATAGAATAGAATAGAATAGAATAATTAAATAAATTAAAGAACACCATGAGCTAGTATTCTCTCAAGTGACTCCAGTGTTTGTGTGTGGTCACTCTGGAGCCCGGCTGCGTTCACCACGTGTTATTTGCCAGGTACCCGAGGAATTTAATCCTTCCCAGAGGCTCAGAGCAGCCCCCCCAAAGCCCGAGTCCCTTCGGAGCCAGCGGGGGCTGATCCTGGCTCTGCCTGGGCTGCTCCGTGACCCGGAGCTCTCCAGAGTCCTGAACCTGCTCCACCTCAGCAGCCCCAAAACAAGAGACAAATCCCAGGTGTCCCTGTGCTCCCCTGGGGATTTCAGTGGGTCCTTTCCACGGACACGCTGACGTGGGTAGGGTTCAATAAATTCCTTGGCGTGGACACAGCATTTGGGCTCAGGGATCTGCCACCAAGGATGGGGCAGAGCACAAGGACAACGAACTGGGAACGTTCACTGGACTCAATTCAGCAGCAAAACGACACAAAGACTGAACACAAAAATCACGGTGGGCTTACACAACCCCATTCGTGCCACACTTACAACTAATTGGTGAATTCAGATGTGATTTTCATTTAAGATATAATTGTGTCTCTTTTATGAATTAAAAGTGAAAGAACACAGTTGGTGGGCTGGGTGAAATGCTTAAAATGATTTTACCTTAGCTAATCTTTCAGGGTCCCCAGGATGTCTTGGGATGACCTTCTGCAGTCTTTGGAAGCCGTAATCTATGGTAGGTTCATTTAAAGCTGGAAGGAAAACATCAAACCCCACCACATTTTAGGAGTGTATCTAAACATGGATTTTTATATGGCTCTGTCTCAACAGGGCAACAAAGAAATCACAACTTCTGCCCTTAAAAGCGCTCCAGTTTCCCTGGCTGACTCCTCTATCAAAGGCTGAATGAACAATTGGCAAGATGCAGCAGCGCTGTCACAAAATACTCCTTTAAGGATGAATGTTTCACTCTGGACAGAACCATGACAGCAATAAAGCAAATTATGAGACAAATACCCACCAGAACAGGTCTGGTCCTGCTGCTTACACAGCCAGAAATCAGCCAGCCGTGTTTGCTCCTCTAATAAACACATTCCACACATGCCCCCAACGTTTTGCAGTCCCAAAGTAGGGCACAGCTCTTCATTAGACACATTCCCCTCCCCACTTGTGTGCTCTGCATACGCCACCACTTCCCTGTAATGATCTGAATCTCTGGTGGATAAACCAGGATATTTTGACCCAGATCCTCAGTTAGCAATAGCTGGCAGAGCCCTACTGGCATCGCTGATGATTTCAGAAAACTTCAGACACTCTCCCAGTCTCTGCTAGGAAATCACGGCAATAATAATCAAATTCCTGATTATTCAAACTCCAATTTCAATTGGTGCAGAACCCAAAAGTCAGCTTGCAGCATTCTGTGTGCTCGGGCTCTGCCTGCCTCCAACACCTCAGCAGTGCCACTGTGCACCAGCACAGCCACAGGGATGTTTTTCTTTGAATTCCCTTATTCTTCAGAATGCACATTTTAACACAAACGACACATTCATGCTGAGGATTCTGTGAAGAATTTCATGACACATTTAATCAGTAACATATGTAAGTCCTTTAGCACTACTCTCAGTCAGTGCTGGCTTAGACCTTCTTGTACCATTTGTGGTCCTTTGGGGAGAAAAAAAAAAAATCTTTGTTTTTTAAAATAACTATCTCTGGCACTGGCACAGCTGAAAACTCCTGATTACAAGAGATGCTGATGGTTCTTATTGAATCATCCAAAATATCCTGAGCACCTCACAGGAGAAGCATCTCCTGCACCAGGAGATGAACCCATCAAGTGAGAGACTTTTACACTGATCCAGGTTCCCTGTTTATCCCTGTCTGCCTTTGGGTAGAACAACATGAAGGTAAAAGGTCAAATTCCCCACTGAGATACATTTTATATTTACTTTTTATTAAATAATTATGGCATGGCATGAAGTTTAAATATTACAGGAGATAATCGAGTGGGAATTGAGCAGAGAAAACCCAGACCTGAGAATTTAGTCTTGGCTATACTTAGAATGTCTTTGCTCTCCACTGGGAGCCATTCTGGTTTGCTTAAGGAGTTTAATAATACACATTTCAACTGCCACACAATCTACATCCCGTTTGGGAAGAGCAGTTTTTTTGGGGGGTTATTTGGGGGGTTATTTTGCCAATAATCCTGAGAATTAAAGATCAGTTCTCACAAGAACCTAAACATCATTATGTGCCATTTCTCTTCTTGATCACAAATTTACTCATTTAAGTTATATATCTAAAGCTACAGAAATGTGAAATATATAGGAATTCAAACATGTGAAATGTACAGGAATTCAAATATATATATATATATATATATATATATATATATATGAAGTTACTAAAAATAGCTAGTGGGAATATGCAAAATTCTAATTCAGGAAGAAGAAGCTGGCTGTTATTCAACAAACATTTTTCCAGTGGATTGACATGGACAGTTTCATCCTGATAGATCAGCAGCAGCAGCAAATGATTTGCCAACAATGCTGAATTGTTCTCAGGACTCAGGCATCCTGAATCAATGTGTACATTATTTCTTTCAGCACAAAGCTTTTCTGTGCAGCCTGCAACAAAATTGCCCACTACTGGTTTTACTCATTAATGGAACAAAAATATCTCTGTTGTGAAATCCTGTGAAAAACCAACACCAAGTATTTGGAGGAGTAAATGACACCTTCCCAAGTGGAGCCAAAGATGAAGAATCCACCAGGAAGTTTAAGCAGCTTCCCCACAATCCCACTTCCACTGAGGAAAGATTTATCTGTGTTTTGCACAGAAATATGCCAGAATTAAATCCAAATGCTTTGGGGTTCGTGGATTCAGAGACCATAAAGGGGTCTGACACACAAGCAGGCTGTTCATTATTTCCTAGAAATCAGATATCTGAAATGAAACCTCTCAGCAAATGGACTCAGGTACCAAATCCCTTTGGCAATCCTCAAATCCAGAGTGTCGGGATCAAGGGGTCTCTTGAACTTCCCAAAACAGTTTAAAAACCTGGGCATGGCATGATATAATTTATTCACAAAAAGAGAAGCCACCTAGGGAATAAACGAAATTATCAGTGAGCCTGTAAACCTCTCCCTAGCAGGCCTGTTGTAACAAGAGATTTGTTGTATAAGAGTAGGGAGGGATCTAAACATGTCAACAACTGATTTCATTTAAGTGAGGCTCAGAGTCTGGACAGTGCCTCCTCTTTGATGTCCTTTACCCTTCCAAACCTGTGTTTTCATCTTCAGCACAGCTATTCTGACTTGAGGAGGAGGGGAAGGATTCTCACAGCTGAGCAGGTTCTTCCCTGACACTTGGCTGCATCTGCCAGAGCTGCAGCAGCAGCAGCTCAGCCCCTGTCTGTGGCTGCAACACCCACCCAGCACAGTGCTGACACTGGAAATATTAATTATTTCAGCGCACATCAAAGCACATCGGGCTGCTGGAGGAGGATGATGATGCATGATTTACCCTGAGTGGCAGCAGCTCGTGCTGGGATCACCCTGGGAGATGTGGGAAAGGGCCACAGCTCTGCAGCTCACCTTGGATTTACCCCACAGAGCACAGGGAAAACAGGAGAAGCAAGTCTGGATATCTCTAGAAACACCCTGAACCCACAAAGCTGCAGCAGAGGGAGAGCAGTTTTTGCAGTGGGCTGCCCAAACTTTAAGGTGTTAACAGAGAAAAGGCACCTGTGGCATCACAGTTTGAGTCATGAAATGGTTTGGGTTGGAAGGGACCTGAAAAAATCATCTTGTTCTACCCTGCTGCCATGGGCAAACACCCCTTCCACTGGTCCTGGATGTTCCAAGCCCTGTCTAACCTGGCCCTGGACATTCCCAGGCTCACCTTCCACAAATCCTGGATGTTCCAAGCCCTGCCCAACCCGGCCCTGGACATTCCCAGGGATGGGGCAGGCACAGCTTCTATGGACAGCCTGTGCCAGGGCATCACCACCCTCACTGGGAGGAATTTCTTCTGTAAATCTCACCTAAATTTCCCCTCTTTCAGTTCCAGCCCATTACTCCTTGTCCTGTCACCACAGTTCTTGATGAAGGGTCCCTCTCTGGTTTTCCTGTCAGCCCCCTCAGATCCTGGAATTCTCTTTTTCCCCCCATGTCTCTCACAGGCTAAAGCAGTGACAGCAGGAAATGTTTTGTCACCTCAGCATTTTCTGTCCAACTCACTCCTCCAATTCATAGAGCTCTCTGCATCCTTGTAAGTGCTGCTTCCCACAAGCAGAAAACAAGAGCTCCAATCCCCTTACAAGATTCAGCAAAGCAGCACCTTCCCCTCCCTGGATCCTGGCTGATACAGCACAACCCAGAGCCCCACCTCTCCCACAGATGATTTTATATTGCTTTGCTCTGACAAGGTAACCCCTGGAGGATTTCTGCTCAGCAAGGAAAATTATGTTCCAAATCTCCTTGATATACACATTTCCAGGTTAGCATCTCTGTGACAAAGTAAATGCAGAGCTGTGATCAAAGCTGAGCTAGGAAAGCCTCCAAGACGTGCCCTCAGCTGGCATAAACTGGTGTGTTATTAAAGCCAAGGGAACTATAATGGAACCACTTACAGCAGCAGAGAATTTGAATTTGTGTCGTATTAAAAGCAGAATATGAGGCTACAGCAAGATTAGCAGCAGAGAACAAATGTCTTTTTATTCCAGGAGCAGCTGATGAAAGGAGAGCAATTCAGAGCAGGGATGTGTGTGCAACCTGCATCCCCACCAGATGAAGGCACACACGGGGACTAAATGTTTGGGTGTGGTGATTTAAAAACAGGCTTTTATCTCTCATTTTAAGTATTTCATCTCTTACTTCAGCTGCTGAAGTTGCTTCAGCAGCTGCCACTCCCCTCCAAGGAGCCGTTTGTCTGGGTTTTTGCTCTACTCTCCTGCACATCATTACCTGTCTACAGAACCCTGCTGGCTTCACTCTGACAGGAAGTTTTCCATGTGGGAACCTTTTGGAAAAGTCCACAGGTCCCATTTTGGTGATGAGTTGAGGCTGATGGCCAGGCTGCAGCACCCTGGGTGAGAGCACTGGGGAGTGGGAATGCTGAGAGCCCCAAAGTGCAGCAGTGCCACCACAGCACACCGGGCAGGAGCCCAGCTTAAAGACACAGATGAGCTCCCACAACAGCCTCACTGTGCCAGTCAGATTTACCCTTCAAATGTGTAGCTCATTTTTATATTCATCTTTCCAACAGCTTTGCCATTTTCTTCTTCAAGCAATCTGTCTTAGTGTGACTCTCTCCAAAAAAAGAAAACAGAAAAGCTCAAATATAAATCAGGTTGAACATAAATATTTGGTTGCATATTCTGTAGGCAGACTCATGTTGTGACAGCAGTTGGGGAAAAATAAGAATGTGAAGTCAAAATGCTTTATGAAATCTCCTCCTTACACCCCAAAATGTCACCACTGCCAGAGTGGCCTTGGAAGAACAAGAGGGTAAATTGATTAATTAATTAATCAAACCAAATCACGGACACAGCTCCTGCAGCCCCAATCCCAGGCACCCACCTGTGTAAATGAACCTGCCTGGTGCTCCTTTGCAGAACTGTTTGGATTTGTAGGACAATGTCACCTCCACCACGCCGGGAATGTGCCGGGGCGGCGTCTGCACACGGATGGCGTGAGGTGTGATCAGCTGGGGATGGCAACAGGACAGGCACGTCAGCTGGCTGCTCCAGCCTTTATTCCATGAGTAAATCACAGAAAAGTCGGGGGTTGGAAGGACCCTAAAGATCATCCAGTCCAACCCCCAGTGAACACCTCCCAGATTGCTCCAAATCCTGTTCAACCTTGGACACTTCCAGGGATGGGGCAGTCACAGCTTCTCTGGGTCTCACCAAAACAACAAAAAAATGTCATCCTCACCTCCAGCTCTACCCTTGTTCACTTTAAAACCATCCCCTCTTGTCCTGCATCACAGGCCTCAGTAAAAACTCTTTATTTTTTATTAGCACTATAGATCAGCAGAGGGGTACACCTGCTTGGGTCCTGGCCTCCAGGAGAGGATCCCACATTTTAGGACAAATTGTCATCAAGAAACTGGTACTGTTAAGCCCATTGGTTAATTGATGGTTTATTCCTGAGCCCAGATAGGTTTTTTTTTTTCTCCTTCCCAAACTCAAACCCTTTCTTTATTTCTTTCCCTTTTCTTATGTAACTAAACCTGTGTAAATAAGAAACCCCGTGGAAAATCTGGTAGTTTAACATCCATTAAGTTCATCAATGGGTTCAAAAAAGATATGGGAATATCTAATGTCTCCTTCAGCTCATATCAGGAGACAATTTCTAATAATTTCCTTGATTTTATAGATGCCCAAAATTGTTCAGTTCCATTCTGGGTATCACTCAACAATATCACAGAGCAAGGAAAACACATCCCATGAATTCCCTTCACACAGGTTTATGAGCCCCACCTGACACAGCACCACAGAATGGCAACAGGAATTAACCCCATTCCTTCTCAGAAAAGAGATTTTACCCAGTTCCTCCTTGGAAAAGGGAATTAACCCTGTTCCTCCCCAGAAAAGGGAATTAACCCCATTCCTTCTCAGAAAAGAGAATTTACCCTGTTCCTCTCCAGAAAAGGGAATTAACCCCATTCCTTCTCAGAAAANCATTCCTTCTCAGAAAAGAGAATTTACCCTGTTCCTCTCCAGAAAAGGGAATTAACCCCATTCCTTCTCAGAAAAGAGAATTTACCCTGTTCCTCCTTGGAATAGGGAATTTACCCCATCTCTCCCCAGAAAAGGGAATTAACCCCATTCCTCTCCAGAAAAGGGAATTAACCCCATTCCTCCTTGGAAAAGAGGATTTATCCTGTTCCTCCTTGGAAAAGGGAATTTACCCTGTTCTTCCTTGGAAAAGGGAATTTACCCCATTCCTTCTCAGAAAAGGGAATTTACCCCATCTCTCCCCAGAAAGGGGAATTAACCCCATTCCTCCTTGGCAAAGGGAATTAACCCCATTCCTCCTTGGCAAAGGGAATTAACCCTGTTCCTCCCCGGAAAAGGGAATTGTTCCCAGCCCAGGGGCTGGGGGCAGCTGTACCCACCTCACTCCACACCAGCATGGTCCCAAACACCACCTGGAGCCCATCGAAGAAGTTGTCCCCGATGATGATCACCATGGCCCCCCCTGTGGTCCAGCCCTCGCTCGGGCTGATGGCTTTGATGCAGGGCGTGGCTGCACAGAACAATAACAAAAAAACATCAAAACATCGCTTTAAGGTGTTTTTTTTTATCCCCTCCAAGAGGTTTGAGGACGTTTGCAGGCCTGGGTGTAAATCCCTGCAGCAATTCCTGTGAGCATCCAACATCCCAAGTGGTGAAAGCTGGAGCTGAGAGCAGCTCCACCCATGCACACCTGGGAATTCCTCAATTCCCACTGCTGGCAGAGACCTGGGACAAATCCCTTCACCCACGAAGGCTGCTCACCTCTCCACAACCCCCAGAATGTTGACAAATAAATAAATAAATAAATAAAGGAGTGTTTTCTGCCTTGCAAGTGTTAATTACTTGCCTATTCATTACTGGCACTTAACATCGTGTCATTAAAGCCTAATAGGCCAACTGTAGTGGGTGTAAAAACGAAAGGCTTAAATGGTTGTGCAGAGGCTGCTTAAAAATCCAAAATAACACCCACTCGTTAGCATATGATCCCACAGACACAAACCCCCTGGAAAAAAAGCTAGAGTCACATCCATTAAGTTTATCAATGGGTGAGAGAAGATATAGGAATATCAAATGTCTCCTCCAATTCATATCAGGAGATAATTTCTAATAATTTTCTTGATTTTATAGAGTCAATTTTTTTTTTTTTTTTTTATTTCTTTCTTCCATATGTTCAAGGCCTCTGGACTATGCATCCCATCAGGAACCCAATATGGTTTCCAGGCCATAACCAAAGTCAATCCATCACTCCATTCCCAATGTTGACAGGGTCAGAGGTGGAGGGGAACTTTGGCAGTGCTCCAAAAACATGAGACTCCTTTGAACAGCCAGTCAATCACATCCAATCAGTCAAGGAAAAACTGGATGGCTTCCTAGGCTAGGAATCCTGGGATTTTCCTTCTACCATTTCACTGCCCGCTGGGGGAGAATTAACACCACTCTGAATTCTTTACTGATTCAATCATTTTCTTCCAGTTCATTAATTCTTCTTTTAGGTTGATACAGGGCACAGTTAAGAAGTGGGGCAGCAAAACATTATAATGAAATAATATCCTTGCTTGTCTATTCCACTAACATCACCAGCTCTTCTCACTTTCAGTGGCTGCAGGAGAGGGAAAAGCAGGCACTGGTAGCATTTTCCAGCACTTTCCAGCCGTTTTTGAGCACTGCCTGCCCGAGGGAGGTGAAATGTTTTGGGAACCAAGAGGGAGAGGAGGGGCCGAACGTTTTGAAACTTAACAGATACAAGAATTTGTAATTGCTTGAATGCAGTCCCCAACCCATCCTGGAGCTGGCCATGAGTGTGGCTTAGCCAAACAAACTCCCATCAATTAGTGTCAGCTCCCTCTGCGCATCGTTAGGCTCCGTGCACAGTTTGTTTAAGGGAACCGGTGACACTTTTTCATACACATCTCGTGCTGGAACGGCTCTGTTTAACTAAGATGTCATCTTGCCTAATTTGCCTGAAATCAAATCTATCCCAGCTGAATGAGAGGGCTGAAATTTAGATAATACTTGGTGTTTCTGTGTTTTTCATCTTTGCAGTACATACTAATTAATAAATTGCAGGGGGAGGGGGAGCCAGTCCCTTAGATGTGAGGAGGATCATATTTTGCATGCAGTAGACACTGTTTTCCTGCCTCTGCCTTCCCCAAACCCCCTGAGGCTCTGCAATTCCCCCCTCAGCTCTCTCCTTCACTCCTGAAAACAAACAGAAATGGAAGAATGGGTAATTTCTGCTCTGCTCTCCAGACGAAATTCCCACCTTCTGAGGGGTCGAGTCTCCTTGCTCTCCTCCCGTGCTTGGAGTTGTTGTGCACGAACATGTTGTCAGACACTGCCAGCACGTGTCCATCCACGTTCACTGTTGTCGATAGCACCACCTGGATATTGAGAAAGAGAAGAGAAAAACACCCAGGTAAACGATTTATTCCAAACTCAGCTCGTTATGGATTAATTATTCAGTTCGGCTAGACCCTCGTTTTGTAAAATGGCAGCACACCTTGCAGGGGTTTAAGAAGGGGAGAAAATATTCTCAGCCTTCATTCAGTGCATTAATTGCATTTAACACAGGATCCTGCATGGAAGCCTCACTGTATAATGACCCAGTTCCTGCAGGATGGAAACTCCAAGAAAACAAGACCTAATATCGTGCCTGGTTTTGACAGGTGAGTTCACAGTGCCTCCTGAAAAATCATCTGAGCCTGAGCACCCCAAAGTGAGCAGCAGGTTTAAAAAACCTCCATGACCAGGCTCCAATTTGAATTCTTCGAGGAAGTAACTGTACATGTTAATTAATCCCACTTTAGTTTTTACAGTATCCAAAGCTCTAAATCCCATCAATCCAGGAAGATGTGTGACTTCAAACCACAAATTTTGGGGAAAAACAAACAATTTTTTAACTCCTGGAAGAAGAACGCCCTCTGACTGAGCAGTTTTGACCATCAGTTGGTGTAAAGGAGTTTAATTCCATCCCACTGCCACACCCACAGTCATGCACAGCCACGGAGAGTCAAACCCTGGATGTGTTCATGGATTTTCACAGCCTCAGCTGTCACAGGCGAGGTAAGAGAATGTCAAGCTCCAATTGTTGATAAAACTCTATCCAGCACAGAGCAGCAGAGACCTTGCCCTCCCCAGGCTTAGGCGAGCTTAAAGAATCCTTTCTTTCTCGAGACAACTCTAATTCATTCCAAAAGGCTCTTGTCATCCTGTACTCTTATACTTCTCAAGCATTCTTGTCACAGAATGTGTTGCTTTTGTGTGCCAACTGATTTCCTCATTCCCTTTAGGGTGGGGTGTGACTCCATCCAAAGGGAACGTTTCCCGCATGACATAGCTGAGCCCACTCAGATGCACTTCATTATTTTCCCTTAAACAATGGAAATAAATTTTACTTCTCTCACTGGCCAGCCCAGAGCACACTGTGGCAAAGGGGAATAGGCCTGAATTATTCCAGTGTCTGAAATATTTACAGCAAGTGTTTAAATTGCAACCAAATGTAAATAAAAAAGAGTGTGTTGTATATACAGTTACACTGTGCAATAGAGACATCTCTGAGCTCACTTACACGAGTGGGATCAATACACAGCCACGTGCTCCCAGGAAGAGAGAACAGAGGCAGGCTAAGTGTTCACACACAGAAAAGAACAGTGGAATGTCCTGAGTGGAAAAAACACCCACTGGGATCAGCCAGCCCAGCCCCTGACCCTGCACAGACACCCCAAAATCCCACCCTGGCCATCCCTGTCCAAACTCTCCTGGAGCTCTTGGGGCTGTGCCCATTCTCTGGGAGCCTGGGCAGTGCCCAAACCCTCTGGGGGAAGAACCTTTGCCAAAATCCAACCTTTCCCAAAATCCAACCTTTGCCAAAATCCAACCTTTGCCAAAATCCAACCCTTCCCAAAATCCAACCTTTCCCAAAATCCAACCTTTCCCTGCTCTCCAGCCTAACCCTCCCTGCACAGCTCCAGCTGTTCCCTGGCTCCTGTCACTGTCCCAGAGCAGAGGGCAGTGTTGGAATCACCATTCGGGTTGTGCACAACACAAGAGCCACATTTTGGTAGGAGATGAAGAGACCCCCACAGCAATGGCAGAGTAATGGCAAGAACCAGGCCAGGAGACACAAGTGCTGAGATTCCTCTGCTCCCTGAGCCAGCAGCAATGGAAGAGGCACTTCCAGACCTCTCCCCGTGTGTGGTTCCATTTTTATCCACCTTTCCCATCCATGGCAGCAGGGCCAGAGCCCCTTGGCCTGTCCCCAGCTGGGACCCAGGGTGAATAAACACCAGTCTCATGGACAGGGTGAGATGCAAAGTCCAGATCTGGAGCAGAACCTTCTCGAAGTTTGGGAGGTTTTTTGTTGTAACCTGAATTTCGGCAGAGACCTTTGTCATTGCTACACCACCAGCAGCCAACTCCTCATCCGTGGTGTGGAGGAAGGACACGTGAAATCATCCAAATGTCTGAACTTCTTCACCTTGCCCCAGCCATTCCCTCTTGCCAGATGGAGATCACAATACAATTATTTTATTCTGCAGATTAAAAACCAATGTTTTATGGATAAAAGGAGGAGGAATGTGCATTCCACCATGGTCTCTAACTCCCAGGCCCTTCCCTTTCACAAGCCAACTGCTTTCCCCCAGTGAGTATTTCCTGGGTCATGAAGGGTGACCCTTTCCATCTGGAATCAATCAGTCAACTCCTGACAACTTCCTGAAACACCTCACTCCATTTCCTGTTCTCTCCCCCTTCCCTCTTTCCCCCTGGTTTGCTTCACTCTTCAAAACTGCAGGCCACAGCAGCTTAATGTTAGAGGGTCAGACACAGTTAGACTCCAAAACACTACACAAGAACACCTTTGACCTTCAAAAATCTTTACATCTTAGCTAAACAAATCAAGGTCAACATTTCTTACCATTACCTTGTTAACCATTTCTGTGCACTTTTGCCAAAACCCTCCTGAACACGTATTTATCAACAACACTTGTTCTCCCAACCTCGTAAAATAGTCCAAGCCCTTTTAAAAAACCCCTGTGTTTGGTGCTGATGAAAGGTGATGTGCAAACTCCCCTGGAGATTTAAATTCTGATTTTTGCCCACTGGCAAATGGCTCTGGTGAGCTTTTCTTTTCCTGCCCTGATGGCACTGCTTCTTGTGTATGATAATTTGGCTTCTTTGCCTGCTCTCCGTGGCTGATCTTCTGCCTAACACCATTTGTTAATACAAAATTTAATCCAAAGGGAATGATCTGAGGACAACAGAATAGGTCGGGTAGGCCATGGATTGGGGCCAAATTTTGGGCAGAGGCAGCTTAAAAATTAAAGATTTTGCTTAAGATTCTGTTTGAGAATCTGTTAAGAGTCCAGCTGCCCAAAAGCTGGACCAAACTGTCACCTCTGCTGGGGTTTCAGAGAACAGCAAGCAAGAAGGAAACAGAGAGGGCAGTGTGTTATTCCTGCATCCTCCCAAACACAGATTCCCATCTCCCCCAGAACTCTGGGGGAATTACAGGATCCTGAGCTGTTTTCACACTCCTTGAGGTTCTCCCTGCCAATCTGCAAAGCTCTTCTTATCAGCTGGGAGGCCACAGGCACAGAGCAGCCGTTCCCCAGCAGAGCTGCAGAAATGCTGGGGCTGGATCTCCGCATGATTTTTGTTTCCCAGGTGGATTTCTGTAATGCAATCCTCGCTCACGACCCACGGGGAGGGTTCACCTCCCGTGACATCCAGCCAAAGTGTCTTTAGCACATTAAACTCGGCTCCTCTGAGCTGCACTGCCCCTCCTTCACCTCCCTGCACAGCTCAGGGCTTTGTGTTTCTTTACAAGCCTCCACCTGGCTACTACAAATTTCCCTCCCCCAGCTAGGTTATATCAGTGTTTTTACATTCTAAAGTGTGCTGCTCTTCAAATCACAGATATGCAAATCCGTTCACATCCCCAGATATAAAACCTGTATCAGTCACAGACACCTATTTAGACATATGGTACAAACATTCCAGGCATACAGGCATTTACTTACATGTAACATATCTCATCACTGTGTAAATGATCTCTCTCAAAAAATTCCTGTTACCATTCCAAGTGTGGAAAAAATTCTTTATGACATCGTACATCTGGAAACAATATTGAATTCCTGATGCACTTTCCCTTAAACTCTCTAGTCACAGCACCATGTTATTTGAACTTTTGAAAAAAACCAAAAAACAACTGCTATGAGGATTAAAAAAATTAATAACAACAACAGCAACAATAAAAATTATTAATAATAAAAATCATTATTAATAATAATAATAATTTCCAGCTGAGTGGAAGGAAATATGTCAAGCCTCATCCTGGGCTTGGACAGGGCTCCCATTGATGTCAACAGGAATTTTGGTTGAGGGAGTAACACAGGAGGAGAGCCTGGATATGGTGGGTTTGCTTCAGTTGGATTAGGAATAAGATAAACAATGGGAAAAATGCCAGCAGCCTCACTCTGCTCAAAACTTCCATGGAACTGTTTGGGAAATCCTCTCCAGGACCCTGAGCCTGCAAACTGGGAGCTGACAGGGCAAACTGGGCATTTTCACCCCAAGGAATCTGAAGGATTTTGGGCACAGGGGTTGGGCACCACTCCTGGCTCACTGGCACCTTTTCTCCTGCTTTTATCCACAGATAATGGCAGCTGCTTTCATAAAATAATTTGCAACCATTTCCACCTTCTGCCTTGGACACTCATCTTGTTTTAAAGCCTGATGATGAGGGAATTTATGGCTTACAGCCTCCATTTATTCCTAGTCAGTTTATACTTAACATTAGCTTTAAAATAATTATTTCCCTTCCTGACCTACCTGAGGGTAATTTCAGAGAGCAGTTCCATCCCTGTTCAGTGTAAATATTTGAGCCCAGCCCCTGTCCCCCTAATGCCCCATTCCTGCATCTGTTCCAATGTCATTTTGCTCTCTTTTGGCTGTAGTTAATCCAGTTTATTGTACCCAAACAAGAAACCAGAGGAGCCCAATGCAACAAATTCCCCTCCTTTCTGCTGGCAGTGTGAGACAGAGTGGATCTCATCTGTGGTTTGTTTTTAATGGATGAGACATCACTCTGGGAGCTTTCTTTCCCCATGGATATTTGGCCTTCAGATCTGAGCACATTAAACTTCTTGAGTAGTTTTTCTCTTGCAATTGAGTCAGTCCTTCCCTTAGTCACACAGAATCCAAAATAACATCACCTTTTGTTGGATCAGTCAGTACCCAGTGAAGAAATCTGCCCCCTCCAGTATCAGCCCGGGCTCTGCTGGCACCAGCTGCCTTTGTTTTGCAATTTTTACCTGGGAATTGAGTCCCCCACAATGATTATTCCATGTAGCATTCACCTATCCCAGCATTCAGTGATCCC